AAGACCTTTTAAAAAATAAATAAGACATTTTTCATTGACCGCCCATTATATAAAGGGCTAACATTTTAGCGCTTTTAAACAAATGTTTCGTATAACCTAAAAAACGTAAACCGCCCAAAAATTTTAATGCAGGCCCGGGGCAAAAACCTTTTTTTACGGATTTGCAAAATGGGCACGGGTGGGGTGAAAATTTTTTTTAAACAAAAACCATTTTATAAAAATGTAAACTTTTTTAAACATTTTAAAATCTTTAAACAAGTAAAACTGTGATTTTTGCAAATAAGTTTCGTTGATATGAATTTAAAAAGCTTTCATTTTGTTTATTGTAAACCCTTAATGACGGGAAAACCCACTTTGATTACTATTACTTTGAAAAATAACGCGATTAAATAAATGTTAAATGTGTCCTAACTTAATTTGATATGCTATCCATTATTTTTTTAGGGATACTGGAATAATTGCTTAATACATTCAATAAACATTAGTTTGTTTAAAAAATGTACAGAAACATTATGACAATCATTTCCATTTTATTTCCATTTTTAATTTTTGATTGCATTTCATGCTTTCTTTGTCTTCGCATTGACAGGTCTTTTTTTTCACGTGTATTTCATGACCGGGTCTGTCTGACTAGAACAGACCTGTGCACGTGCAAAAGATAGACCTCATAACGGACTTTCTTTTGTTTAAACAGGTCTATCCGAAAAATATAGACCTGTCACAAACAATAGAGGAGGTGTGTAATGTTAAATCACTATATGAGAGAGTCACGTCATGTGTTAAAATATCATCTACATCTAAATTGTCTGATTTTTTTGAAATGTCACTGGGTTTAAAGCAAGGGGAACCACTCTCATCGTTGCTTTTTATACTGTTTGTTAATGATGTTAGTGATTCACTAGATTTTAATAATTTGTCAGATAGTGACTTACAGCAACTTTCAGTATATCTTTTGCTTTTTGCCGATGATATAGCGGTTTTTACAACGGACAAACACAGTTTACAATCCCAGTTAGATAGTATATACATGTATTCAGTCAGATGGAAATTAAAAATTAATGTGAGTAAGACAAAAATATGTGTATTTGAAAAAAGAAAACAAAGACATGATTTTGAATGGTTTATTAATAATGAAAAAATTGAAGAAGTTGACAGTTTTTGTTAATTAGGCATTAAACTTGTTAAAACAGGAAATCTTCGTTTTGCTGTTAAGGCCCTATGTGACCAGGCGCTTAAAGCCATGAATAGTTTATTATCTCTTTTTAAAAAGATTAGCATTGATTTAAAGACCAAACTAGTATTATTTGATAGACTTATTGTTCCCATTTTATTGTATGGTTCAGAACTTTGGGGAATATACAATTATAAAGAGATTGACAAGTTACATATTAGGTTTTGTAAAATTATCCTGGGTGTTAGAAAACAAACTACAAATGCTGCTGTACTAGGAGAACTCGGGAGATTCCCGTTATCTATTATAAGTATTGAACGTTCCTTTAAATATTGGATTAAACTTAAGAACAATAATAATACTTCTGTTTTGTGTGACTTTTTTATACAACAATGTACACTATCACAATTAAATGTTAATAATTGGGTGTTTAGAATTAAACAAACTCTTGACAATCTAGGTCTTTCACATATATTTGATATATTTAATCCTAATTTGAATTATTTTTCTATTATACAAAGACGATTGCGTGACCAGTATATTCAAGAATGGAGTTCAAGTTTAAATACCTCGCGCAAATTAGAATATTATGCAAAATTTAAAAATGTGTTAGAATTTGAACCTTATCTTAATAATATTGTCAACGATATTTCTAGAATCCAGTTAACTAGATTCCGTTTGTCTTCGCATAATCTTGCAATTGAAACTGGTAGATTTAATAATATAGAGAGAAATGAAAGATTGTGTTTATTTTGTAATCAGAAACAGATTGAATCTGAATATCATTTTTTATTGATTTGTCCAAAATATAATAATATCAGAAAAGATTTACTTCCAAAATATTATACATCTTGGCCTTCGCTTAATAAATTTGTTGCATTAATGAATAATAATAATAAAACTATTCAAGTAAAATAAGCAACTTATATTAAAGAGGCGTTTAAAGTAAGAACATTGGCTATTGAGCTAAATGAATTTTTACAGACAAACAGTGCTTAATTGTAAATTTATTTTCATTGTATTGTAATGTTTATATGTTATGTGTTTGATTAATCATATGCATTTGAATTATTATTGTACATTTATATGTTATTTTGTCTTGGCCATATTCTATAATTATTTACTTGTAAATGACCAAAGGCATATTTATGCCGATTGCTAAATAAAGATTGAATTGAATTGAATTGTTCTGGACCAAAATATTATTATTATCATATAAATGTCCATACTAAACCACTGTGCAATATATCAACATTTTTTATTCAGACATATTTTATATATAAATCCAAATATTACATTTCTATTATTTTATCAATATATTAAAAATGTGCCCATTGTAGACCAATCCACTTTTAAATTAAAGCAGAATATACCTCCAAATTCAGGCTTTCATAATAAAAGATTACATAAGTGTTTAGTGTCGTAAAAAAGTATCAAATAATCACTTTTTCTGTTTGTAACGGATTACTGATATTGTGATAAAATGACAAATTCGGTATAAAGCATGTAAAAGCATTACATACAGCGTGAAACTTTTATTAAAATAACGAAGTTTGCAGTCATTGACACTAAAAATAGTGTCACGTGGATCAGACTGAAGTTGCAATAATCGTATGGAACTGTATTTAATTAGGCAATAAAACGAAATACACTTTTAATATGAACAATTTACTGTATTTAATTCGCATAAAACATGTGTCTCTGCAACAAATCAGTCTTCTGTTTCATTATTTAATGCCTCCACGGTTATGAACGCCTCACCCTGGTCATGTTTACTGGTCACTCCCTTCATGTCAGTTGATATTTCAACTATAGTTTTTTCCCCTGTATGTTCCTCTTTCCCATCGCCGTTTGTTTTTCCATTTGTCGGCTTGCCGCTGTTTGTCGTTTGCTGTAAATGTTCGGATGGGTTGAGCAGAGGGTGGAATTGTCCAGACTGGTTTTCTGTGTCTTTTTCTGAGGAATGATGATAAGATTCGTCAGGGATTTTACTGTTTTGGGGTTTTATAAAGTGTAGAAGGTGGAGAGGCGTTCCAAATACATTTAAAGGTTTCGACTGCTGTGGCATATAATTCGGCTTAACTGACCCAAGAGAGGGAAGATCAACTATGTGCAACTTATTATCCAACGTAGACTTCTCTGCTTCAATAGTCGCTATTATACGCTTTAAAAATGACATCTTTGCATCAAGAGTATCCGGTTTGGCTCCATTTTGTATTCCTACGTTAGGAACTATTTTGTTATCATACTTCTCGGTATTTCCATTGTTAATGTAAATATTCTCAGCAAACACTGTGATTCTTGGTTTCTCGTAATTCAAAGCTGGATTGGAATGGTGATAGTAATAGTCCTGACCATGCCCAAAAAATGTAGTTCCAGGCAAGAGGCCGAGTCTGTGTGGTAAGTAGTGCGGACCGTGCGGCGTTGAAATTACGGACATCGGTCGTGTGAGATAATGATGATCGACCATTTGTTCTGCTTGGTTGAATGGCTGCCTAGCTAAATACGGAACATGTTCTGTATTTTGGCCGGAAATAGGTTCTAATGGCCTCACACTGTTTGGCTTGTAGTAATTACTCTGGGGTTGTGAAGCAGGACCCGGGATTGTTTCGGGAACCTTTATATATGTTGCAAGTTGGCTATGCTCTTGAGGAACGGCATATTGTTCTGGTCGATTGAAATTTTCACTGAAACTCTGAAATCTTGAATTCACATTCTGGTTGAATCCATTTTGCTTCTCGTTGTATTCCAAAGCACCACAAACTGGAAATAATACTGTAATAGTAAATTAAATGATACTAAATTTCATCTTAAACAATATAATGAATAAGTTTCGCTTAATCTTAAAAGAGAAAACATCAAAAATAGAAACAACAACAGAACAATGTTGATTTACAGTGCACTCGTATGTTTCAACATTAGAAAAAACACAATGCAAGTCTGATGACGAAATATAAGTAATTGACCAAATTGACAATATACAGAAAACCATGATAATTAACCATCCTGTATTCTAACTCAAAGTAAATTTGGTAAGCAAAACAACAACAAAATTTAAATTGTAATAACATAAAGTAATTGAAATGTCAATAAACATAAAGTAAATGAAATTTCAAAAAAAACATGAAGTAAAGTATAAAACTCACGACATGGTACCAAAAGAAGATACATAAAGCGCATCCTAGACACAGAGTGCATGTTTTATATGTACAATTTGTAAAATAGCTTTAGAACAAACTTCTAAATGAAATTTCTACAGCACGTAATTTTCAACACTTTACTGATACAACACTGACCACTGACGTCAAATATACACTGCATAGATAACGCGTGATATCATATCCGGGCATTCGACAGGTGCGTGAATAAGCAATCAAATTGTTTTCGATTGTGTCGATCATGACCAGTAAAAACATAGAATAAGACATAGTCGCTACGCTTCCATCCGATACCCGCATACTATTAAGGTCAGAAACTATTATTCCTTTATCTTTTATCTATTTGCCATTAGCCAGTCCAATCCTATGACTTTTTAAATAAATTGCTTTTCAAACACGTATATGTCACAATGTAATATATTCATATAGTAGTCAACGCAAACAACAAGATGCCAAAAAAATATTTCCTGGCATTTAATGCCCTAACACAACTTTGCAATTATAAAATGGTTGACCAGGAGGCATGTATATACTGTAATTGTTTTTGATATACATTGTATATGAAAGAAAAATTATATGAGTGTTAAAAAATAAGTGAAGCCAGAAGTCGAATCCAGACGCACAATTGTCTACATCTACAAAATGAATAAAGGTTGAAGAGTTCCGATAGCAGTAAAATCGAAAGAATATTCACAATGACCCACCATATAAGAAAGGTAATGTCTATTAGTGGTGAATTTGCCTTCTTTAAGAAATGTACACCGTCACAGACATGAGTTTACTTAAAGTAACTGCGCATAAGGTTCGTTGGTCAAAAGTCCATTGTCGAGGATGTATTCTTCATAAAAATATTTAAAAAAAAAATTACGAAAAGCAATAGAACGCCTTTGTTTAGTTTACGAAATAGAAACCTCATGATGAGCAGATGGTAGATATATGTAATTATCGTTTGACCATTGTTAATGAAATCATTATCAATATCTTAATTTTCTTATCATAGTACAGCTGCCCACTTGTGTCATTGAAAAATGTGTATTAAGGTCACCTTAAGGTCTTCTAATCTTTGACATTGGCATTCTTTCTACTGACCACCAATTAGTACTTCTCAAACAGCGACAACGTTAATATGTTGGTAGCCAATTATTTCGTAATTTTCGGTTTTCTGTGTGTATCCAACGGTAATTATTCTAATTTACGAATTTTACTTATAAATTATAGTTTTTTATTTAATTCTTTCTGCAATCTTTATGCTGTTTTCTTTTTTTTTCTTTTTATTTGCTTGTCAAAGAGTTATTTCAGCTTTGCATAAGAATGTATAAGTTTTGTGTTATTCTAGTGCAACTGTTATTTTTTTCTATTATTATATTGTGTAACGATTGCTTTGTTAGTCGATGTTTACATATAATATATCATTTGTAATTATTTCATATATCGATCTTTTCAACAATACATGTATGATTTGGATAATGTTGATATTTAACTTTAATATGTTAATAATGCAGCTATACTTTAGATTCACAGACAGAGTCAAGTTAGGTCTGTTTGTATGGAAAACCATTTATCAAAGAAATAATCAAAGTCGCAAACTATGAGCAAAACTTAAACAAATATAATATTATAAAATATAATAACAAAAAGATTATTTTCCTAACCTTATTCATTGCCTTTACTATATTGTTTGCGTAGGATTTGTTGTACGGCGGCAATTTGACCCAAATGCATTATATCAGCAACAATCACAGACCGCCCAGAACTACATGAAAAATGGCGGCGGTTCACAGTCACCACCCGGAAGTAGTTCTTCTTCCGGTACCGCAGCTAATTTTGATCCCAGTTCAGTGAACACCGTTTCACAGACAGGAGCAGGTGGTTCTGGTAAGTTTAGGAAGCGTATCTAAGTAACAGCAACTTACGGACATGTTTTATTCTGATATATTCATAGACTGTTTTTATGACCACCGCTGTAAGTTCTGGTTAAAGTTCTGGTTCAATCGTTAGTGAAAGACCTTATTATTTTAAACACGATATCGATAGAAAACATACACAATATTCGAAATTACAGGAAAGCTGATTTATAATTTGGTAAAAATTAATGACCACAACACAACCTAATAATACCGTTATTAAATTAAATCATATTAAAATGTGGAGGTTTCCTTTTGAAAATGGCCACTCTTTATATACCCACAATATTATGCAATTTTCATTACACGGGTCTTTTAAAATTAGGAATAGAATTTCACTAGCATTTTATCGGACATTGCATATCCACGTAGCGTTAATATTTTGCACGTGTATTTCTATGTTAAAAGTTTTCTTTCAAATAACTGAACAAGTTATTAATAAATGACTTTTTTATGAAGACACTTCCCTACCTTTTCACCTTTCCAGGCTCTAGCGGATCCCAATCAAGTTTTGATCCTAATAAAGTAAATCAACAAATTACACAAAGTCCGCCCCCTGGAGGAAACTCTCCTTCTCAGAGTATGTCGGCAGCCGGAACCGGAAGTGGAAGTTCTTCGAGCGGAAGTAGTTCCAGCGGGTCACAAAGTATGATGCCATCAATGACAGGGATGACAAACAGCGGAAGCAGTGGCAGTAGCAGTAGTGGATCATCAGGAAACAACATGCCGTCATTTTCAATGGGAAGTTCTTCCGGTGGTTCTACAGGTGGCTCATCAGGTGGAATGTCAAATCCCTTTGGGATGGGAAGTTCTTCCGGTGGATCTTCAAGTGGAACTGGAAGTAGTTCTACCGGATCACAAAGTATGGTGCCTTCATTGTCGGGAATGAGCAGTGGTGGAAGTAGTGGTGGAAGTAGCGGAAGCTCTTCGGGAAGCTCCTCCGGGAGTTCCTCCGGTGGAAGTGGTGGATCAGGCGGAAGTTTTGATCCCAATTCGATAAATTCTTTGAGTAATAACATGGGTAACCCTGCCAAGTTTTTAAGTAACATGGGTTCAAGTGCAGGGGCCTCGCAACAAGGTATGACTTCAGGAAGCAGTGGATCTGGTGCTAGCAGTAGTGGAGGGTCCAGCGGGGGCACTGGAGGAAGCAGCAGTGGCGGTGCAAGCCAAAGCATGTCGCCATCAGGCTCGGGCCAAAGTATGTCACCTTCAGGAAGTGGTCAAAGTATATCTCCTTCGGGAAGCGGCCAAAGTATGTCACCTTCGGGAAGCGGCCAAAGTATGTCACCTTCAGGAAGCGGACAAAGTATGTCACCTTCGGGAAGCGGAAGTAGCAGTGGGAGCTCCTCCGGGTCTGGATCTGGATCGAGTGGAAGTTTTGATCCAAACGCCATTAACCAACAAATGATGTCGTCAAACTCAATGACCAATCCGTCCCAGTTTCAGAGTGGCACAAGTAATGGTGGTAGTCCTCCGATGGGAAGCACGTCAGGTGGAAGCTCTAGTGGCAGTGGTACTAGCAGCGGAAGTTCAAGCAGTGGGGGAAGTGGTGGCTCAAGCCAAAGCATGTCACCGTCTAGCTCTGGACAAAGTATGTCACCCTCAAGTGGTTCCAGCACCGGTGGAAGTGGTAGCAGTAGCGGCGGAAGCAGTAGTGGTTCAGGTAGCGGATCCGGAAGTAACAACCCACCAAGTCAGATGACAAACCCGATGGCAATGATGGGAAGTGGTATGGGAGGGTCTGGAGCTGGGAATATGGGTAACTTCGATCCTAATGCAATCAATAAGCAGCTGATAAACACAAATTTCTTTAATCCGCAGATGATGGGCAGACGATAGAAACGATATTTAATGTTAGATTTTATAGTCAATACCAGTGTCTGAAAAATTGGGTGATTCAACGTTTGGACTTCATAATTTTAAAGACGAAATTAGATTTAACTCTTTTATTGAATAAATAAATAGGTCGCTTCGTAAATGTCCAGTAATATTGTATGAGGATAATAATGAATTATAATATATGAGTTTCATTATAATGTATGAGAAATCATGTACTAGTGAGTAAGTTGATAAAATCTCTTCTTTAATTATGTACTGTGTTTAGGACTCTTGATCGTTTACTAAAGTAGTACTTCCCTAAAAAATATGAAAATTAAAAGATGACAAATCACAATTCTTCAGGTTTTTTCTGTTCTTTTTATTTTTTAACGATCTGTAGACGAGTTTGGAAAAGTCTATTATATTTTAAATAAGAACACAGAAACATGAAACTAACGCACATGCCCCATTCATAAAACAGAATTATTTATAATTCTCTAAGACTATCTAAATTTAAGAAACATATCTAATTCTAGAAACATATCTTTTTGCTAGAAACATTTCTAAATGCTCCAAACATAATTTATGATAAATAATTGTTAATATGTAGAAATATATTTAGAAATATTTTTGATTGCTAAAAACATATCTAATTGTTAAAAAAGATCATATCTAATTGCCAAAAACATATCTTATTTCTAGAAACATATCTGATCACAATTTCTAGCAGGTTTAATGACGCCTTCGTGCATGCGTCACCGACAAATTTGAAGATTTATAATCATTAGTCCCTCAATTTGTAGGTACACACGTACAACACGTAAATAAATACCAAAATATATATATTTATTTGTATTACAAATAACCAAAGTAGCTTTATTTATTATCATTCAAATCAAGCATTCTTTCTCAAAGTTTTAATGTTGTTATCATATTTATATTATTGGATACGTCATCAGTTTTTACGATTTGCCCTTCGCCTTTTCTTGTTCCATGAATCTGTCAACGTGTTTGTTCATGTGCACTATCTCCCATTTCTTCATCCAAGGGCCTTGGATAGTTGTATCAAACTCCTCCTCTTCCAGGTCCTAAAATGAAATCACAAAAAGCACGTGACGACACGAAATAGTTGTATTATCTTTATAGACATTCATATTCGTGTAAAGGTATTCAAGAAATAAAGCTTTGCTACATAAAATCCATCAGCAGCCAATGAAATCTTTGATATTGCGATCAATCAAAAAGTCTTACAGCAGTTTGTGCTTCATACAGTAAGTTCTTTTTAGCCTCGCATACTACTAGTATTTGGACATGCTAATTTAAAAACAGTATTTTACTTAATATCCCCGTTATTAAGTTCATTATTTATTACTATTTCTTTTTTCATTTGTTAAATTGTTTGTATGTTCCGTTGGCTATATGGAAGGTGATAGAGTATTTTCGAAGTATGATTATTTGCGGAAAGGAATTACGTGCTTTGAACTTGGATATGTTCACCGTTAGCTCATGCGATTTCAATCTCAGAATCTCTACTATTATACTTTTGTTTTATTATTCAAATTATATCGTTGCTGCTAATAATATCGTTGTCGGGTACAGGCGGTATATATTCCGTACATACTAGTTGGCTGTATTAAAGCTTCTGCAAGACGACAACGACGTCGCAACGATCATAATAGCTCGATTATTTCTTCGAATCAAACACGGAATATATATAACGTGGGTAAACGACAATGTAATAATGAGCTTACCGCTTTCCCGCCTTTTATATACTCGGTCTGTACGATGTGTCTGTTGACTGCATCAAAAGACGTCCAGTCTAACTTAAAATTTGGATCTTTAGAATTTCTCATAACGACTCCATCTTTCATGCCCCATAATCCGCCGGGGTCACTTGCTCGCTGCCATCTGAAATCCACACTCCATCGGATTCCTTCGGAAACATTCGGTAAACTCCGGTGGGGAATCATATTGTTGAAAAGAATGAGTCCACCACATTTGACCGGCAATATACGGCTATCACGCTCTAAGTCAATCCCTTAAATCAATGAGAACCCTTTATTATCATTTGCGATCTATCAAGCGATCCGTTGACTTTGTCTGGACATCTATTAAAAATTAATACTTCTAGCTTATGCACTTAATACAGTAGTTTAATGAAGGACATCAGAACTACATTTTTAAATCACGAAAATCTTCATACTGGTAGTACCACATATATTTGATATGCATAGACTTTTAATCAACGAATTGTCCCTTGTTTGCTGCATTTTAACTCTTAGCATGATTTTGTAAAAGTTTACCTAACGTTTTCTTCATTTCGTCCTCTTCCAAGATCGTGTAATAGGTATCACCCCAACAACACTGGTGCGTTGCTATTCGTCCACTTCGATGTCCTTTATCCGCTATCTAAAGAAAGTGTATTGAACAATGTAGGGAAGTACAATTTAAATAACTCAATATTCGGATATTTCGGACATTTTTTTTCATAGAAAGAAGTATTATATAGCGACTTTTCGGGTTTACTGGCAGGACAAAGTTTCAGGCGCTGCTATGCACATAATTTCATACACGAGCGGGCATCTAGATAGAACCAACATCATATCGTAAGCTGGCTGGATTGCCTAAGACTAGGATCGAAAGAATCAAAAGTTTCCATTGGGACTCGAATCCACAATGGTTAAAGAAGAGTAATTCAAAGTCAGTGACTTTCGGAGGCACCAGAAAAGATATTAAAACAATATAATTATTCTAAAATAAACGAAATTGAAGTATCATTATTAAATTTTATGCCATCTCTAATGTAAAATATAAATGTACGTAAATAAGCTACTTAAACTGGTTCCCATTTTACACGTTAAGGCGGAATTGTGTTCATCATATACCTCTAAACAACCGTTTTCCTCATTGGCGTCCACAAATGGGATCCAGGCTGTTGGTATAAACATCTTGTAGGTGTCGTTGTCGAGGTACGATACATCTATAAAAAGATACATCACACATTACGCTCTTATACAACGAACATTAAGATTGGGTGAATAATTAATTATTTCTACAAAGGGACAATGTTTTAAAGCGTACTTAAAGGATTTTTACTTACGTTAAAAGTTGACAATTTTCTTGACACAGCATGACCGTATAATTTAAACAATTATTTTACCATAATTGTTTCGGTATTGTTTGGGTATTGTAACAATTATAAGGAAAGCTTTATATTTTCCTTCACTACTCAGTACAAGTCTTACATTCATGAACGAACATGAATTTCGAGAATGTACAACAATATGCATACAAATGTATTTGGTGGCTAAATCAATGACAAATCTAAAAAGAATATAATTTTTATATGAAATGAAGTTTTGAAAGCGTTTAATCACTTTTTAACCATTACTACCAAGTCTTTACAGAGATGTACATAACTATGTCTCTGGTCTTTAAATAATCTTAAATGCCCCCCCCCTCCCCGCTTCCTATTTATCGGATTTTATTTGATACATGTAATGTTACTTTTGCCGGTGCTTGGGGCGTTGACTGTAGCTTGCACTTTCCAGTCCTGACATGAACAGACTCAATCAAACCGACTCGTATTTCTCTCTTTTTATGGAGTTAGAAAATAAAATATGCGGACTGTTGATTCACAAGATCTGATAACAAACCTTGATGCCACGGAAACAGTTTGTAAGCGGGCGCTAATTTTTTGGGGACTTTAAAGTTCTTAAATTTCCACGCAGGATTTCCCCCAAATATCAGGGCCTTATCAGTTTGGCTCTAACAAGATTAATAAGCCTGTCATTTGAACCCACAAATCTTTCAGTTGCCTAAAATATAAAAAATTTAGCAATGGATTTACTTTTTACCCTTTACCCCCAGGGCCTTTAAAAACTGAATCTACGCAGGCGATCTGTGCAACGAACGACGGAACAAGTCGGCAACCATTCGTCCTCGTCTGATCATAGTATACGAAACTGTTGCCCTTTTTCAGTCAGTAACTTATTTTGAAGTATTTCTCGAAAAATTGATGAATTGTCCTTGTTTCCGGGATTAAAAGACGGACAAGTGGCCCATTTTAATATGAATAAAACCAACATTTAATGGTTTTTGCGACCAGCAATGGATCCAGACCAGTCTGCGCATCCGCGCAGTCTGATCAGGAAACCATGCTGTTCGCCTATCAGTTTCTCCACTTGTAATAGAGTTTTTGGTAAGCAAAACAGCATGGATCCTGATCAGACTGCGCCGAATGCGCAGGCTGGTCTGGATCCATGCTGGTCGCAAAAACCCATTATGTTGGTTTTTGTCGTGACGCGGCTCTATATATTTAGCATGTTAAGTGTTGATACAAAAAGGTCATAGCACCATATCGATAAAAAACATAATTTATATAAGACTACTTAGCCGTTTTTCTATAAATTATTTATGAAAAAATTATATAATAAATCTTAATATACCTGGGGCACTGCCCGATTTTTGAACAGATAATGTGTTCGATGGCCTTTGAACTCGCTTTCTATTTTTGTCAGTCTTTCTGTAAAACCTACTCCTCATAACAGGTCCTGAAGAAGCAGACCGAACACATCTCTTATAAACATGTAGCGCATGGTTTAAGCACAGTCATGGTTCAAATAAATACCATATGCATTTATTGATAGGAAACATAATACATGTGTAGAACGGCATTTTAAATGAGTCAAAAGGGAATGACCCTTTATTCAAATTGTAGTATTATTCTTTTATTTGCGTTTATTTGAAGTCACCATCAGAACCCAGTAAGAGCGATCACTCCAAAAGAAAGTACGCATAGTTACTTTAACTGTGTACCACATTCAAGAAGTTATATCAGTTACCATGTCTATGCTCACAAACCCGATATAGTTTTACTCTGAAAGAATTATATACCATTTGACCACTCGTTTGCTCTTAAAATAAAAAGTTAAACAGAGGAACGACAGTAATTCCTATATTATCTTAACAAATACATTTATATGTTTCATTTTGAAACTTTAAGACAATATTTTTCGGTCATATCTTAAGAGTTTAAAGGAAAACACAGACAAGACGACACGACATAATTCATATAAAAACTTATTCATCTTAGACAATTTTGTATTTGAATAAGAAATAAACCATACTTTTGATTTTCCCTGCTTTATACAATTTCTGAGCGAGATCGTCCACAATTTGGTTAATACATTCTCTCATAGGTTGTAACTCCGAATCTTTGAAGAAATCTTCTATCACAATGTAGCCCTTTAAATTAAATTATTAATTTTATAATTACAAACAGGGTCCTATTTTTGAGAGAAAAAACGTACCAATGAACATGCACATAAACCAACACTGATTAAAACTACTTAAAAGCCATGGCAACACTTGAGCTTTACATTAGTAAGGTATATAACTGCAAGTCAAACTATTATTGTGTTTTGATGAAGTTGTCTCCCTTTATACCTCTGTTCGATTAAAAATACTCGTACTTCAGACATAAAGTTTGTTAAATATATATATGCATGTATCAATTTAGATAAAATAACAATAGCGGCCTCGGACCAGCTTCTTGTATTACTTGGTACTGGTTTAATGTGAGGAAACCTAACAAGACTCGGACTTGTGATCCCTAGGCCGAGAGGTAGACACCGTGATTACTAATGAAACGTATCTACAAAATAGTCAACAAACTTTAATTACAATTTTAAATATGCTGAATCACACTGCTGTATTAATTCTTTAGTAAAGATTTCATTTATTTTTTTATATTTTTTTCTTTTACATTCAATTGCAATCTAGATTGCCATATTTGTGACGTTGAATAAATTTGTATTACAAGCACCACAGAATGTATCGTGTACGTTACGGATATGAATAACGTTCACGGTAAAAATTAAGAGACAACATTAAGACATAAATGCCAGTGCTAAAGTCGGCATGTTGATGAAAAAAGAAAGAATCAGTTTTTATTGTACCACAGTATAACAGATCTTACTTAAGTAAACCTGTACGTTTTGTTTTAGTGATAGTGTAGAACATTGTACTTACATTTTCAAAATACTCCCTTATTTGATCTTCTGGTAATTGTCCAGGTTTTAGCTCCTTTGGTTGCGTAGGCATTGCCCTGGAATCGAACAATTCCGGAAATGCGTCTTCGGTATATCCCGGAAAATGTTTGTCGTCTGCTTCATTATTTCCTTTGCTTACGTTGGCCATTATTTCAACAGATTGTATATCACAAGTTCAATATGCAAAATTTCAAAGGCCAAATAAAATGAAATGAAAATATTTGTTTCTCCGTCCAGTAAAAAAAAATCGATGTATCTAGAACCACAGCTAACGAGAGACATTCGATAATATTCATATAACGATCAATTCATACGAAGGAAATTAACACATACATATTTTGTACCTAACTTATGTTAATTTCTACTTCACATATCTATGTAACATAACAGTTGTTATCACTTATTATGTAAAATGACACAGGAATGACAGTTTTCTGTCTAACTTCAATGCTAGCAGTCGTAACATGCGATAATCGCCAATTTCCGGCCATTTCCATCAAACTTCGAAACACTGCCCCTTAAAATAATGGACAGTTCTAAATTAGAAGTATATCAGTCAATTGTCCTACATTAGCAGTCAATGACATGAACGTATGCTGAAATACTTTGGACTTGGCATTCAAATATGAGATAATAACCATCATTTATATACAATTTACCAACTGTAAAAGGATCAGCCACGATTAAATATAATGGCAGTACATAAAATTGGCGCGCGCATATCCAAACAACTTTTAAGGGTATATAGTACTATTCAAATTTTACTTTTTTTTTTTTGTCTTAGCTTAGAAAAACATCATCCTACATTTTTAACGATAAAGAAACTAGATTAAAATAAATGGTCAAAGTTTATCTAATAATTTCGTCCATCAGTACATAGATAAAGGAAATGAAGAGAAAAAAAAAATTGCGAAACAAAATGATAAACAATTGAGTGCGTGACCCAAATAATGATAATAGATTTTACATCACCTATCACCCATTAGATTTAAACATTTAGGAGGTGTATTATAATAAGATCAAGAAATATCAATTTTAAACGTAATCAAAATAACAACTTTATTTAAGATTTTTCCTTAAAATTGAAATGGGTCAAGACAAGATATGTTGGTAAATATATAACCACATAGATCTATACATAAGTGCATGAATCCCAAATCCGTTCATAAATAAAATTTCTTAATTTTGAAAAATATCACCTTTAAATTTTAAGGTCAATATGGTGTTTAAGTCATACAGTGATGGCCCAAAATGAAATACAAATGTACACGTTCTAGTAGATATGCCCTACTTAACTATAAATGAACATTATGGTACGCTCGTGCATATTTTGTAACATATAGGATAAAATCTGAAACAAATCTCAAACTATTTATTAATTAATACAATTCTAACATTATTTCTGATACAAAAAATTCACCCATTTTAACTTACAGCAAATCAAGTTGTTGTAGACCATTATGCATGCAGTTTTTCAGTGTTCCTCATGGAAATTTTTCGTTAAGGAAAGTAACTCAAGTTTAAATCCGTGCCAATGTCAAAGAACATCTATTCTTCATATAGGAAAACATTCAGTGGACATGTTGTGTGCATGCAAAATCTTCAGTGTAATTTTAAATTTTCTGTGTTTGTATTTTGGCCAGTTACGGATCTCAGTATTCACATGTGCTAGGTTTCAAGTGAAGTAATATACTTTATACATGTAAACAAGAGCGTTCAGTGATCACATGTGTCGCCTCCTTATAGCCAATTGCATGCTGCTGCTTCTGTGTACCAGGAGACACAAAAATTATTAACAGGGGCTAATTGCGACTTTTTAATTCAAGGGTCAACTAACTCGGACAAAAATCATTCAACCAGAAAACCCAAGTGATATGCGCAAGCATTTGAGCTACTGGTCACTTCTGTAAACTTTCATTGTTATTGCATTAGTGGTATAAGAGGAGACGTCCGGGCAAATTTAAGAAACTAAAATCATTAAAGGGACATAACTTTGACAAAAATTAACTAGAACTATCACTAAATGTGATTAATACCCCCACAAAACTGCTTCTGAAATGAGGATGTTAGTAGTTACAGAATACCTTCTAAAAGAATTGAAATAGAGTTATGGTTGTGGGCAATTAAAGATAGTTGTGGTTCTTGTATGTTGCATTTCCTTTCAATGTGGTTGGGCTATTGATGAAGTTTTATTGAATTACTCTGCAATAAGTCCAGAAAGACAAGGAAAAGGATAAAGGGCAATAACTCTTTAAACACTGAAGATGGAGTTATGGTTATTGCACTTGACCATTGTATGAAGTTGAATTGAATTCCAACTACAAAATTTCAAGTTCTGCACAGGACAAAAAGTAACAAAGGGCAATAACTGTAATAAGTCCAAATAGAGTTATGGTTCTTGTGCACTGCACTTCATCTCACTGCCCTTGACCATTGTATAAAGTTTCATTGAATTCCAACCATTAATTTTTCAAGTTATGCACCGGACAATAAAAAGTAACAAAGGGCAAAAAACTTTTACATGAGTCAAGAAAGAGTTATGATTTCTGTTACACTGCTCTTCCCCTTAATATTACTTGACCATTTGTATGAAATAGTATTGAATTCCAACTTAAATTTTTCAGGCTATGCTTTGGACAAGAAAAAAAAGCAATGGAAAAGTTAACAAAGGGCAATAAACTCTATAATTACTCTGGACAGAGTTATAGTTCTTGTGCACTGCACTTCCTCTTATTTTGCTTTGATCATTGTATGAAGTTGTTTTTGAATTCCAACCAGTAGTTTTTCAAGTTATGCTCCGCGACAAGGAAAAGTCATTCAAAGTGCAATTACTCTGTAATTTAGTCAAATGGAGTTATGGTTCTTGTGTGCAGTGCACTTCCTCTTTATGTGCTTGACAACTGCTAATGAAGTTTGTATTGGGAATTTCCCAAACCAGTAGTTTTAAAGTTATTGGGCCCCGGACAAGGGAAAAGCAAATGAGAAAGTAACCAAAGGGGCCAATAACCTCTGTTAAAATTTAAACAAAATGGAGTTAATTGGGGTTCTTTTGCATTGCACTTTCCCCCTTTTTGTGGGTTGACTATTTTTTGAAAATTTTTTTTGAAATTTCCAAAACCAAATAAATTTTTAATTATGCTCCCTGAAAGGAAAAGTAACCCAAAGGGGAGTTAAAATTTTAAAAAAAAGGGGAAGATGGGGTTTTGGTTCTTGTGCATTGGGACTTCCCCTAAATTTTCTTGACCATTTTAATGAAGTTAAAACTGAATTTCCCAAACCCTAAGTCTTCAATTTTTGGGCTGGACAAAAGAAAAGCAATGGAAAAGTAACAAAAGGGTAATAACTCGGTTAATTACTTTTAGATACAGTTATAAAGGTTCTTGTTTCACTGCACTTCCCCTTATTGTGTATTGACCATTGTATGAAGTTTGTTATTGGAAATTTTCAATCAGTGGTTTTGAAAAAGTTAATGCCTCCGGACAAGTAAAAGTAACAAAGGGCAATAAACTCTGTAATTAGTCAAAGTGGGGATTATGGTTCTTGTGCACTGCACTTTCCCCTTAATGTGCTTGACCATTGTAAGAAGTTATTAAATAGAATTCCAAACCAGTGATTTTGAAAGTTATACTCTGGACAAGTAAAAGAACAAAGGGGAATACTCCGTAATTAGTCCCAAGATGGAGTTATGCGGCTTGTCATTACTTCCCCTTATCGATTGTGCTTGACCATTTTATGAAGTTGTTTTGAATTCCAACCAGGTATTTTTAAGTTTTCCCCCCCTGAAAAAGGAAATAACAAAAAGGGGAGAACCCAGCAAATAAAATTTAAAAAATGGGGGTTTTGGTTCTTGGCTTTCAAATTCCTCCTTGTCTTGAAACCCTTTAAGAAGTTTATGAATTTCCCAAAAAATAAGTCCCCCAATTTTGGGCGGACAAAAGAAAGCAAAAGGGAAAATTTAAAAAAGGCAAAAAATCGGTAATTTTTTTAGAAAATTATGGTTTGCACTGCACTTCCCCCCTTTTTTTGACCCTTTTATGAAAAGTTTTTATGAATTTTAATCATGGTTTTGAAGTTATGCCCCCGGACAATAAAAGAAAAAAAGGGGAATAACTCTGAATTAGTCAAGTTGGAGTTTGGGTTTTTTGGGGCACGCACTCCCCCTTTAAGTTGGGCCATTGTTGAATTAATTTTAGAATTCCCAACCCCGTGGGTTTTTAATTTTTAAAATCTGGACAATAAAAAAACAAAGGGAAAACCCCGTAAAGTAAAAGGGGTTTTTGGTTCCCTTTTGCATTGAAATTCCCCCTTAAATTTTGGGGTTGGGGCCATTTATGGTTTTTTAAAAATTCCAACCCTATTTTGAAAAACTCCGACAAGGAAAAGAAAAAAAAAGGGCATAAATAAGTAAATTGTGGAAAGGTTTTTTGGTTTTTGTTTAACTGCAAATTTCCTGATTGGGCTTGACTATTTTTTAATTAAATTAAATTTCCCAAACCCCTCAGTTCCCCTTTAAATTTTGGTCTGGAAAAAAAAGAAAGAAAAGGAAAAGTAAAAAAGGGAAAAAACTGAATAATTTAGTAAAAGTTAAAGATTTTCCCTTTCAAATTTCATTTTCCCCCTTTTTTTTTTGTTGACCCAATTTTAGAAATTTTTTTGGAAAAATTAACCAGTGGATTTTGAAAATAAGGAAAAAACCCCGGGGAAAGTAAAAAAAACAAATGGCCCCAATAAAAATTCCCCCCGGGGGGAAAAGTTAAGAAGGAATTAATGGTTTTTTGGGGCATTGCCCCCCTTTAATTGGGTTGAAACCCTTGGATAAGTTATATTGAATTCCAACCCATTATCCTTTCCCAATTAATCCGGACAAAAGAAAAAGGGAACCGGGGCTGGGGGGACCAACCGAAACCAAACGGGGGACCCCCATAACCCCCCAAAAGTCGTTTTGTGGGGTAAAAATTTAAAAAAATTAGGAGACCCAAAATAGAATCATAACGTAACCCAATCATTCCTAAAAGGGGTAAATTGCAAACCAAGTAGTTTATGAGGAGTAGCCAGACAACAACTTTTTGAAAATGGCAGACGACAGAGAAGAATCCCTACAGAATAGGTCGCCACTACATTGTAGTTATGGAGTTCATGGGTAAACAAGAAGTCTTAATTCTTTGTTGTACTTGCTTAATAAATTAGACGATTGAATGTAGGTTTAATCAACAAAGCTGTTGACTGAGAGAAGTTTTTTTTTTAAGTTTACCCGTTCAGTTAC